TGAGGCTAGTCCTGGCTCTGAACGGTGGTCACAACCTCTGCTTCTGCAGCTCCTTTGAAATGCACTTGTTTACAATTGCAGGGGAATGGCTTGAAAAAGCGTGCCTGACATTAAAACCCAATAAGGTTTAACGGGATGCTGGCTTGCGGGTTAAATACATGTGCCCTGCTCAGTGTCTTTGCCTATGATCCGAAGTGCACCCTTACCTGAAATGGCTCTGGTTTTAACTAAGTTTTTGAGAGCAGCTCTGTTCTTGGGCATGTGCCGAGGCTGCCATCTCCACTCAGGCCTGGAGCTGCAGTTTCAGTGCAAATCCTCCGGTTTTAACAATGTTCTTACCTGGATCGTAAAGGAGCGAAAAAGCTTCTGTCGAGCGCCGGCAATGCTAAACGTGGTTGGATGCTCTCATTTGTGATTCCACGGAGAGAAGGCAGCTCCCAGCCCCTCGTCCTGCCACTCTTTTACCCTGGGCTGGGGTCACCAGGACGGAGACACCGTTGTGCTCTGTGGTCGTAGAGGGAAAGGATGGTTCTTGCGACAGACCTCTATGTTAATTGTTGTCCATTTGTCCATGTGACTGCTCCTGCGGTCAGTAGGATGAGCACGGCATGTAAAGCATCTAAATATCGATGGGTCTTTTAATGTACTTGTAAAAATCACACCGTGAACATCCAAGGCCAGGTTGGACCAGGCTGTGAGCAACCTGATCTGGTTAAAGGTGTCCCTGCTCCCCATGGGGGGTTGGGGTGCCGTGACCTCTAGGGGTGCCTTCCAACCTAAAACATTCTATGATTCTATGAAAATAATTTCTCTTTCTCTGACCACTAAAGTCACTTTGTTCGAACAAACCCGTGAAGATCTTGCACTGCAGATAACCCAGCTGGGTCCCGTATGGTTTTCCACTTTTCTCTTTGGAGTAATATGTCGGCGAAGGTAACAAGAAAATAAGCAGAGATTTTAGGCCTAATGTTAATAGTTCCTTTTAAAAAGCAGGAATTAAATCAAAGCTGCATAAATGGAAAAGAATTAAATTAATGCTAGACGTTAAAAAAAAAAAAAAGCACTGCAAACAATGAGGTGTATTTTAAAAAGTCACTGTTTTATTAATAATACTTCCCACCTCCTTCCCTTGATCTTTTGCTGACAAGCCTGGCAGAGGCACTCTATCAGACACTGAGGCAATTTAGCTGCTGTCATGTGCCTTTCTTGATATACACGTATTAGTCACGCAGCCGTTTTATGTTCTTTAGCATATTTTAGTATATAATTAAAAATGCGCCTGTCTGCTACTAAGCAACCAAGCATGTCAGGGGTTGATTGTATTCTGTCACCCATGGCAGCGGGGAGGGTAAAAAATAATAATCATGTGTTCACTTTTCAGTCTTAATTGTGCTCCGGCTCCTTTGATATGTTGTTACACACCCCCCGGCTCCTGGAGACGGCGGCGAAGCCAACGCGTGGGAACGGCTGGCAGGTGACCCGCAGCCGCGCCGCTGCCGCCGATAGCACGTCCGCCTCCGGTGCTGGGCTCTTAATGGGGTTTTGTGACTCTGCTGGGTTCGGCTTGGCTGGGCCCTGCTAAGCTGCTGTGCGGCTTTCCGGGGGACTGGAGTGCTTAAATGCCTTTGGGCTCCTGAGGGTCCCTCCCCAGAGGTTTAAAATGAGCGGCTCAAGTTGATGTTTGCCTTGTAGCCCTTCTCCGTAGGTAGGTGGGAGTAGGGGTCCTGCACTGAAGGACGCTGACTGGTGGGCAGCTGGTAATCCTGCGCTCCATTCATTTCTAAATTATCTGATGTGCAAAATGGCCCCTCCAGCTCCTGAAGAGGAGGAAAACTGGTCATGAGCCAGGTGATCACCTTAAACTCTGGGAGAGGAGCACCAGAGCTTACAGGGCAGATCTGGCAGCTCCAGGCGGGGCAGAGACCACACACACCTCCCCTCCCAGAGGCTCTCACAGAATCACAGAAGGGCAAGGGTAGGAAGGGACCTCAGGAGATCACCCAGTCCAACCCCCCCTGCTAAAGCAGGTTCTCCTAGAGCATGTTACGCAGGACATCATCCAGGTGGGCTTTGAATATCTCCAGAGAAGGAGACTCCACAACCCCCCTGGGCAGCCTGTGCCAGTGCTCCGGCACCCTCAGAGCAAAGAAGTTTTTCCTCACATTCAACTGAAACCTCTTACGTTTCACTTTGTGCCCATTGCCCCTTGTCCTGTCGCTGGGCACCACTACAAAGAGTCTGGCTCTGTCCTCATGACATCCCCCTTTAAGATATTTGTACGAGTTGATGAGGTTCCCTCAGGCTGAACAAGCCCCTCTCGGCACGTTGTCCTTCAGCACCGCTTTCCTTGGGGCTCTCCCATGCCCCTAAAATGTTCAGACCCTCACCTCGTCTCGCGATGCACTGTCCCTTTCTGTTCCAGCGGATGGCTGAATGTGCGGACGGCTTCCCTGCGAGCTGGAGCGATGCTGTCCCCGCTCGGCGGATGCTGTCGCAAACCAGCTGAACAAACCTGTGTTTGACAGCCTGGAGAAAGGACAAAATCTCATTGATACCCTCGGCCGCAGGCTTATGTGACTCGGGGCGTTAGGGGGATTATTTCTGTGGGAAGATGTGGCTGTGAGGATGTGCTGCTTGCTGCAGGGGCCCTGCGAGGGGTCTGCCTGAAACCCCACCCTGAGGCTAGAGAACCGCGTGGCTCCGGGAGAGGGCCAGGGAAACCCTTTTGTGTGTTTTTAGGCACATCTTCTCCAGGCTGAAGAGGAAAAGGGATTTATTATATCAGCTCTGTTCCTCACACCTCCAGTGTCTTTCTGTCTCCTGAGCACGTGCAAACGTACACAGGCACGCACTGCGTGCAGCAATGAAATCATTCTTTTAAAAGTTTTCTGGTTTTAATAGCTTTTATTACTTCAGCAAGACAGAAGCCAGCAGATCAGCACAAACTGGTATGACATAAAGAAAAAAAAAAAAGTAAAATAATGCCGTAAGTAATTCCAAGGCTGTTTGTTGATTGTGATTCCTTTGATTCAGCCTCCAGGGAGAAGGATGATGCCTGTGCATTTTTCACAGTCAGCATCTGATATATAATCTGCTCTGAGCCTGCCAGGATCCTGAGACGTGACACTGGGGCTGCTTGAAGAAGATAAACTCGCTTGGAGTCCCCCAATTTTTCTTGATTTTTCCCAGTTGACCGTACCTAACTGGAAAGCACGGCGGTGGGGAAGGAGCCCTGGCCCAGCCAGGTATGGGGAGGCCCTGGGGCAGAGGCGCTGTGGGGACACCGGGGGGGTCCTGTGCTGTAGCCTGGAGCTCAACTTTGTTGGTAGGCAACGCTGACGCAGAAGGTACCGCATTTGTCACACCAGTGGCTGGCAGGGGTTACACGGTAAAGGCACCGCTATACGTGTGGGCAGCAAGGTGAGCCTTGCCAGCATGTCCTCCATACCTAAGAGTCGCAAGGCATGGGAATGCCATGCTGGCAAGATACAGCTCCGGTCGTGCTTCACCGCAGCGATACCTGCTGATCTGTGGCTGCGTGACGGTGCCTGCAATGGGGGCGCATCGCTCCCTGACGCTGGGAGCAAAGGCTGGCAGCTGAGTTTCTTTTTCTGCTGCTTTGAATGAGCTGAGAAAAGAACTCAGAATGCCAAAACCAGTGAGGGAGATGATAACCCACTTCAAATATTCTATATCACATGGAGATTTTGCGTGGTGCCGTCAAGATACCCCGCTTCTTTTACATGGGCTATGAGCCTCCTGACTGCAGGGACCCAGCAAGAAGCAGCGGTGGGACAGCGCTGTGCAAGGCTGTGGCAGCCCCCAGGTTGGATTAACCAAACGGGTGAGTAAATGCCACTCACTTTCCCCCAAAGGAGACAGCTTGCTACGAGCTATGCTACGGGCGCTTGGTGGTTTCACTTCTGAGCGATGGCTTCTGGAGCACTACGCGGGTCTAATGGGTTCCCTTTCAAACAGAGCAGCCGAAAGAGGTAAATCAGGTCAGATGCCAATAATCGTCTCGTTCCACGCAGCTCTCAGGTGTACGTGGTTTCACAGGTGCTGCTGTATCTATCTTGTTTAAAATGCAGTCCTGCCCACTAATTTACCATGTGGAAGAGCTCCACGCATGGGGCAGGGCTGTCGGCCTGGGCTCGCAGCTCTCAGAGAGCAGCAGGCTCTTCTTCCAGCATCGTCTTGCAGTCCCTGACCCACAGCTTGTACGCTCTTTCCAGGGTCTCTTCACTAGTGTCGTTGAATATCTCTGTAAAACAAGACTTGTAGTTAGTTGGACATCCAGAGCAGCTTTTCCTGCTTGCATACGATATCTCACTAGGGGGGAGAGTAGCTCCTCCGAACAGTTTATGAGAGTCTGTTTTCTTGCGAGCGTGTACGGACTGAGCTTCAGGGAAATAGTCTGGATACATACTGATGCAAGAGATCACAACATTGTTCTATGCTAGGGTTTTGGTTTGGGTTTTTTTTCTTTTTTAAATCTTATAAGTAAGAGTGTCTCATCCCAGATATCGAACAGACACTATTTAGTTTTCACGTATTAGTTCTAGGCACAGTAACACGTTCAATTCCTTTCGCAAAGGATAATTTAACAAATATTTTTGAGTATATCACGGGAATCGTTTTGCCCTTATGACATTGTTGGCTTGTCTGCTAGAGCACGGCGTTGAGACTATCGGTTTGCAAACAGGTTTACAAAGCGAATTGGTCAATCATAACACAATTAATTAGACCTCAGTCCTTAACTGAGTTCTGGTGGTTACACACAAGAGAAGGATCCTGCCTCTCAATGGCTTTATTGAGATGTTAAGACAAGCACAAGCAAAACCAGAAGCGTGCAACTGCAGGGCACGTTTTCCAGCACATCGGTGTGCCGGGATGCCCACCGCCCCCCAGGCTCCCGCCCCTGGGGCTCCCAGCCGTCCCTCGCTGCCGTACCTGCTACGCCCAGGCCGGTGGGGAGAGGCATGCGGGGCGGCCCCCCGCTGTGTTTCAGGCGCTCCATCAGGGCTCTCTTGATGAGGGGCCAGCTGCAGCCGCTGTGCCAGACCGGCAGGCCCCCGCCCCCCCCCCCCTGCCGTACCTGCTACGCCCAGGCCGGTGGGGAGAGGCATGCGGGGCGGCCCCCCGCTGTGTTTCAGGCGCTCCATCAGGGCTCTCTTGATGAGGGGCCAGCTGCAGCCGCTGTGCCAGACCGGCAGGCCCCCGCCCCCCCCCCCCTGCCGTACCTGCTACGCCCAGGCCGGTGGGGAGAGGCATGCGGGGCGGCCCCCCGCTGTGTTTCAGGCGCTCCATCAGGGCTCTCTTGATGAGGGGCCAGCTGCAGCCGCTGTGCCAGACCGGCAGGCCCCCGCCCCCCCCCCCCTGCCGTACCTGCTACGCCCAGGCCGGTGGGGAGAGGCATGCGGGGCGGCCCCCCGCTGTGTTTCAGGCGCTCCATCAGGGCTCTCTTGATGAGGGGCCAGCTGCAGCCGCTGTGCCAGACCGGCAGGCCCCCGCCCCCCCCCCCCTGCCGTACCTGCTACGCCCAGGCCGGTGGGGAGAGGCATGCGGGGCGGCCCCCCGCTGTGTTTCAGGCGCTCCATCAGGGCTCTCTTGATGAGGGGCCAGCTGCAGCCGCTGTGCCAGACCGGCAGGCCCCCGCCCCCCCCCCCCTGCCGTACCTGCTACGCCCAGGCCGGTGGGGAGAGGCATGCGGGGCGGCCCCCCGCTGTGTTTCAGGCGCTCCATCAGGGCTCTCTTGATGAGGGGCCAGCTGCAGCCGCTGTGCCAGACCGGCAGGCCCCCGCCCCCCCCCCCCTGCCGTACCTGCTACGCCCAGGCCGGTGGGGAGAGGCATGCGGGGCGGCCCCCCGCTGTGTTTCAGGCGCTCCATCAGGGCTCTCTTGATGAGGGGCCAGCTGCAGCCGCTGTGCCAGACCGGCAGCTCCAGGCCCCTCATGCACTGGATGATCTGCTCCTTCTCCTCGGTGGTGATGAGCCCCCGCACGTGGGCGACGTAGGTCATGAACGCCATGTCGATGTTCACAGCCTCTCCGTGCATCAGCGATGGCAAAACCCTCTGAAATGGAGCAAAGGCAGGGGGAGAGAAAAGGTTTGGGTTGACAAATAGTAAATAAGTAGTTTTCTTCTAAAAGTACTCCTGAAAATTGATGTTTGACTCGCAGCAGTAGAAATACAGATTTGCTGGATGTTAGCGTCTTGGGATTTATGGGTAGCGGTGGATGATCTGTTTTACACACCATTAACTGCATGTAAAATCTCCCATAGCAATCCAGGATCTAATTCTCCTCCCATTCAAACCACTGATGAAGAGCACCATGGGATGGAGGGAAGAGCTCTGAACCTTGCAGGGGGTCTAGTCCTCTCCCGCCTCATTCCTCAGTGGCTATTGCTCCCCAGTAGCACAGGCTATGGTCTCTGTGCCTTTGCACTGTTACAGCTCATGCCATTTCTAGTGGCCTCACTGAGATCTGGTCATCTTCGTGCTCTGGTAAGTGCCTGGTAGGAAGCCGTAACTGGCCTGCGGTCTGAATAGGAAACAGGGCTGGGAAAGGGGGTCTCTAATTTATCCAGCAGGACCAGGCTTGGTGCATTGGCTGATCTGAGGTAACGTGCAAATCTGGAGTTTAGCTCAGCTCCTTTTGCACAAAGTTTTCATGCTGCAGATTGAAAACATTTTTTTTTTTTTTTTTTTTTTTTTTTTTTCTAAAGGGATGTTGCAATATACAGTCTGTCACTCACCATTTCCAGCTCTGGGCTTATAAGGTGACCAAAATCAACCAGTCTGTCCAGGTCATCTTCCCAAAGGTTGGGAGCCAGCTCTTCCAGCATGGTTTCAATGGCAATCCTGGTGGTCTGCAGTGCAGCATCCCCACGGTCGGCAGAGCCGCTGTAGGACTGGAACTTGGTGTCCAGCAGGTATTTCCCATGGGTCTTGAGCAGATCAAACAGCCCTTTGTGTTTCATGAGTGCCATCTAGGATGAAGAACAGCAGAGGTAATTAAAGATAATTATGTGGTCCTTGTATGTGCTGTTGAAAACTTGCATGTCTCAGTCAACTGGACTATAATATCATGTTATACACTAGCAAAGAAATACCTGCACACTTAGTAAAATGGCAGAGAGAGATGATGGGAGCACTGGTGGGCAAGTTCCCTTGCTACTGGGCAGCTCTGACCATTCTGTGAGTTTGCTACGTGCTCCAATTGCCCAGCGGACCATTTGTAATGAGCTTTGGCTACTTGTGTGGCTGGCAGGAAGCTCAAGACTGCCTCAGCTGAACAGTAGCCATTCCCAGGACGGGGACTGGGTGGTGAATGTCCCCAGGATAACTCTCGTCTAATCCTTGGGATTGCTCTTTGGGCAGGGGAAGGTGGGAAAGTGCTGCAATATGGGGAAATGAGGGTTCAGAAGCGGTTTCGTTGTTACAAGTACATATTTTTTCACTCCCTGACTCAGGTGTTAGCCCACTTCTGCAGCAGGGGATGGTGACCTCCAGGTTTCCCGCTGCCTGCCAGAAACCCCCAGCTATCCTGGGGACTTCCCACTGTGCAAGCACTGAAAAATGCTGCTGATGAACTCATCTCTAATAAACTTTAATAGCTTGAACACTGATTTATCAAAAGTTTTCAAAGCTCTTCAGGCATAAAACCACTTACTGTGCATGTGCCAGGTAATTTTAGAAGTAGAATTTGTCTCGCAGGAGATTGATTGACCACACTCAACATAGCCCATGAGGTAGGTGCAAATGATCTTGCAGGTGATTAATCCCTGGTAATAATGAGCCTCAAACTCTCTGCCAGTAGTTCATTTGAGAGTGCTATGGATCAGCCTCAATGGGAAGATGCTTTCTTCCCTGGTTTGGCCATGTCTACCTCTGGCCTTGAGTTTTGGAGTTTACTCTGCAGGGTTAGTGTGAGCCATTGCGCGTAAGGGATGTTCTAACAAGTTTAGCAGCTGTAAAAATATATACAGGCTCAATGAGAGTTAAAAGTCCCCATGCAGCCTTGGTGGCCCACCTTTGTTTCTATAAGGCAGTTTATACATTGCTATGGATGCTGATGGACAGACAATATCTCAGGTTTGAAAACTGCGGTTGCAGAAGTTCTTACCTTTAAAATTTCACCAAGGCCGTTGGAGATGTGTCGTCGAGGAATGCTCTGAATGAAGGATCTGTCCAGGAAACTGGCAACCGGGGGGGTGTAGCCCCCGAGCTTATTCTTACACTGCAGGAAATTCACCCCATTCTTTGCCCCCACGCTGGCATCAACATAAGAGAGGAGTGTTGTTGGGACCCGAATGTAAGGGGTACGTCTTCTGTAGAGCGAGGCGGCTAGTCCTACGATGTCCAGGCAGACGCCTCCTCCGATGGCGATGATGGGCTCGGTTCGCCTGTCAATGCTGAAGTTCTGGACTTCTTGCAAGATGTTCAAGACCAGGTCCATGGATTTTGTTTCTTCGGTGGTAGGCAGGGCGAGGATTTTGTGCTGAACGTTGTTCTCTTCAAAGTATTCTCTGACTTTGGAGCCATAAAGTTCGTCAACGACTTCATCTATGACAATAAAGCGCCTCAGCTTCCTTTTGCTGCTAGTGGCTAGCTCTAGTTGCTGGGGGTCGGTAATGTGACCCCAGAGCAGAGTAGTGTTAGAGGGATCCAGAATATTGTATGTTTCTACCACTTTGTAGCAAAAATAGATGGGAGCTTCAATTGTCCAGGAAATTCCACCGTCGGAGATGCATTCACCTCTGGCAAGGATCAGAAAACATGGTTTGAAATCACTATATTGCTCTTTTGTACTTTGCGTGTCTGAACTAGTTTAAGGACGGAGCTGGAAGGTGGGGGATGTGGAGTCTCCTGCCCCGTGCACCGCAAAAGTGTGGGGCTGCGTGGGTGGGACAGCTCTCCTGGGTGTCAGGGTTCAACTGCTTTGGCACCAGAGAAACCATCCCACATCCTAGTGAACAGTCAAGCGGCTGAACTTCTACACAGTAACGTTTTAAAAAAGAGCAAGAAGGGCTGGAGCACGTTATTCATGCTGAAAGTTGAAAACCCCAGCAGAAAACCCCAGACCAATCATTTCAGCTTCCCCAAAGGGCGTGGGGAAGACATTGCCAAAATTTTCCAAAGTATTTGCAGAGGAAACTTCCTCTGCCCGCTATATCTGGGTGGTGAGTTGATTTATTCCTGTCTATCTACACACAGCCACGCACCTCCATACAAAAGAGTGTCTCTACAATGCCCCAGATGAAACGGTGGATCTCTTTACCCCGAAACAGGTATGATAGAAATAGGAACTGCTCCCAGGTAGTAAAAGAAAATGATTTGAGAGTTAGGAAAGATTTCCATACTGCAGTTTTAAAGGCTAAATAAAAGCCTACAAAGCCGGCATGAAGTATCTATCTAAAACAGTGAAGAACACAGCCCTGCGACCCAGTTATTAATTCTGTGGGGCAGGGGGAGCCAGGGGAAAAACAAGTGGCTTTTTTAGTTTGTTGGGGATCAAGAAAGGAACAACAACAACAAAAAAAAGACAGAAGGAAACTGCAAAATGTATTTTAGGTAAGACCTCTTCTTGAGCTGCTGTCGGGTAAAAATTGAAAGTTTCCGTGAACCTTTGTTTCTTGAATGAGCAGATGGCTCACTCCTCTTATAGGTCTACTTAGATGCTTCTCTGCTTTCTTTACCAAACTAAGTCTCTAAGTCTATCCTTAACATTTTTAAGTGTTAAAGAAAACCAGTGAGGATATATATACCTTCCAGAAAATTTCCTCTGGGCTTTTAAAATACAATACTACAGAAAGCATCATCATGTACATTTTAATGCACTGAATATATACCTTACAGCTGTACCTTAACTGCATGCGCATCCATCCCTGGCATGTGACCCTTCTAAGAGACAGGATGGCTTTGAGTGTTAGTTGGTAGAATCAGCTTTGGGTGCCGGACGGCACAACTAGCACCCACTGCAACCCCTCTGCTGCACAAAAATAGTAGTGAATTTGAGGCTGAACATAGCCTTGTTGAAGCATATGGCACCTGAGGATTTTTCTGGGTGTGCTCTGGGCCCTAGGCTCACCCTTCTATTGAACGAGGTCCAGCAGATTGCCTTTGGGTCTGCTCAAGGCCTGTTCTATCTACTGCAGCTCTGCTGAGCAATGCTCCCCTGCAGCCACTGCCCGCTCTCAGCACGGGTGAAGATCCCGCTGACCCACCTGGGAAAAGGGTTAGACTTGTGACATTCAAACCTGAGTATGGCAAATGCTAGAAAACTTTGGACATGCAAAACATAGCCTCATTAAGGAAGAACTGCATCACAACCTTCATGTGCTCATGAAAAGGAGTATCCTGTAATTAAAGGATAATTAACTGGAGAGGTGTAATATCAGCAAAGAGCTGTATGTATCCCTGGGGGAAATTTGTCTCTCTCCTCTGTCTGAAGCAGACTTCTACAGTTCGGGAGATGTGTTGTGGTTTTTGCTCCTGTCAGTGACCTACTGTGTTTATTTTTCCCATCTAGGCATTTAATTTATCTGCAACCATCTCCATAAATGCATCCTTCTCCAATGCTTGCGCATGAGCTTTTGTACACAAAGATTTCATGTACATGCAGAGGAAAAAAAAGCCCAAGTGCAGCATTCAAAAGTCCCCCCGTAAGCTTTTCAAAAGTTTAAAGAAACTTATCATCCACAAAAGTTGAGGCTGTTGTTAAAATTCCCTCTGTAACTTAGCCAAGTCATGCCAAGGAGAACAGCAAATACCTGTGCTGCCATACTGCATGCGTTTTGAAGCCCACTTTCACATGGTTGTATGTGTAATGGTGGGTTTAAGCCACAACAGTGAAAGTCCCCCCGTAAGCTTTTCAAAAGTTTAAAGAAACTTATCATCCACAAAAGTTGAGGCTGTTGTTAAAATTCCCTCTGTAACTTAGCCAAGTCATGCCAAGGAGAACAGCAAATACCTGTGCTGCCATGCTGCACGCGTTTTGAAGCCCACTTTCACATGGTTGTACGTGTAATGGTGGGTTTAAGCCACAACAGTACACAAGATGGATTTTCCATCTGAAATGAATCCCACCGGGGAGACCACGCAGTTTGGCCAGCCAGAGCCGTCCAGCACAGCCGCCAATGAGCAACGTGGGCTCCTATACTTACATTTTTGCTTCAGAGAGAGTTATCTTGTCCTCGCCATCAGAAAGGGCTTCTCCTTTCTTGATCCGGTACCATGTGCTCTTGACTCGCACCAGCTGGAAGTCTGTCTGCTGGGGCTCCTGGGGCATGGTGGCCAGGGCCACTGGAGAAAAGGTCTCTTCCGACACCGGCATGCTTCTAAGAAGGTAATATCTCCCTGTTAAGAGATCTCCTGTAACTGGGTGCCTTTGAGGTGCTTTTTAAAGGCTTTAGGTGACCAGGCATAGGAAGGGGAGGTCTTGTCTCGCAGGGGAGACCAGTTACAAAACTGAGATTATCTAATCTGGGATGCATGTTAGGGGTGCTAGGAGCATTTGAAGACACGTGCGAGTACCAGGATGGTGTTGTATAATCAGCTAGTTTTATAATGCTTAAGAAGTACAATAGCAGTGCATACATTAACTTCCAACATGATGCCCTACAGCAAACTTAGAGTTATGAAAGGCAATTTGTGTGATTCTGCATGACGTTCAGGAACCTCCTTTGCTGTGCGGAGCCTCTGATCTGGCTGCGGCTCTAACCTGCTCTTATGGGGTGGGACAGGAGCAGGAGCATGGGGACAGGATCGATATCGGCTGGCTAAACCTCTTTTGAGCTCATATTCCCGGGATTCTCTTGCGTTGAGGAACAGAATGATTTTTTTTGTTGTCGTTTTTAGCTTTTATGGCGGGTTTAAAAAAATAATCAGAGGAAAATTTTTCCCCTGAAGGGCTCTTTGGGGATGAGCGGAGTTTTGATTTGTTTGCCCAGCTGCCTGTGGGACTCTGAGATGCTGAGGGCAAACTTAGAGTTATGAAAGGCAATTTGTGTGATTCTGCATGACGTTCAGGAACCTCCTTTGCTGTGCGGAGCCTCTGATCTGGCTGCGGCTCTAACCTGCTCTTATGGGGTGGGACAGGAGCAGGAGCATGGGGACAGGATCGATATCGGCTGGCTAAACCTCTTTTGAGCTCATATTCCCGGGATTCTCTTGCGTTGAGGAACAGAATGATTTTTTTTGTTGTCGTTTTTAGCTTTTATGGCGGGTTTAAAAAAATAATCAGAGGAAGATTTTTCCCCTGAAGGGCTCTTTGGGGATGAGCGGAGTTTTGATTTGTTTGCCCAGCTGCCTGTGGGACTCTGAGATGCTGAGATTTCCCTGCGGTGAAGTCGTTTCAGGATCAGCAGCACAATCCAGGCAGTGGTAACTGAGCCTTGATGACCCTGCCTTTTGCATCCCCCGCTTTCCTGCAGTTGCCACCTATTTGTCTCATTAAGACTATGCCAGATCCCCGCCATGTACTCGGAGACCCCGTCTCCCTGACCCAAAAGCATGTTGATCCAGTGGGGTGGGCTCAGCCAGAGGGATGAATTCCCCTTCTCTAGGAGGTGATGGCGTGGTGGGTGCTGGTGGGGGACCTGTGCTGGCTGCTGGCACCCTGCTTCCCACGTGACTGAGGAATGCACAATTCACCTTTCCATATGATCTTCCAGCTGGTGCTTTTGGAGGGCCCCAGGCTCAGCTTGCCACACCAACCATTCCCTTGGCATACAGCTCTGTGTTCTGAGCACAGGGGAAGGTCCTCCTTTGATTTTGCCAGCACTGCCTGAAGGTACAAACCCATCTTTGCCTTCTTGGCTGTGTTTCTGAAAGCTGTCCTTGTTCAGAAACAAAGATCAAGAAAATCGAAAACAGGCGTAAAAGCAGAGGCTGGAAAAAATGGCTCTTCAAGAGCCCATCGTACCAATGAAGACCACTTCATTGCATTGAAGGCTTAATTGCAGCCAAATTCGCTTAGGAACCTACATTTATCTCAAAATTAATTTTGGGAAAAAGCTACAAGGATAAACTCTAAAGCCATGTAGCCCTGCTCCAGGGGGCGTAATAACTCCTAACATCTAGTTCTCACTGCTGGCTTCATCTACAGATGGTGAAGCACTTTGCGAAGAGGACAGGCTGTTATCCCCATTTTAGAGAAGAGGAAAATAGAGTCACGAGAAGAGACTCAACTTGCCCAAAGTCACCTCCAAAGCTAGGGGAGGGTGGATTACCTGGCATACTAAAGCTCTTAGCCTGTTTACAAAATACTCGTCTGAAATTTTAACTCCCAATTCAAACACAATTTGGATTGCTTTCCACGGGGGCTGCTGGTCTAATGCAGTTTGTTGTTTACTAAATCATAAGATGGAATAATCTTAGGTATGCAAGGGGGTCTGTCCTCTTCATCTTGTTTATTTGTTTTGATTAATAGCAATCCACTGAGCACTGGGACTTATTTTATTTGCTTTTCTTTTACTCTTTTGTCCTGTGCATTCACTTATTTTGTGTTTATACTTCCCCATTCTATTCTGGGGGCATTGAAATGTCTTCTGTTTCATTTTAGAAGTTGACAAATTGAATTTCCGGTATCTGTCTGCTTGCCATAGCCATGTCCTTGTACCATGCCTCCTGCAGAGGGGCTGCCAAGAGCCTTGCAGTGAAGACTTGCTCCCCACAGCCCCTTCACCTCCCCTGCCCAGCCCCAGGCTCTCTTGGCACGCTTTGCAGGTACGTTGAGTCGGTCCTTGACTGAACAAGCCCAGGGTGGTTCGTCCCAGAGGTGAAAGGTGCTGTTCTGGTTACGGGGTAGTCCACGTTTCCACATTAGCTTCAGTTTATGTTTCATCTGTGTGAAGAGGAGGTGGACGGGCTGATCTGAGCTCCATCACTTGCTCTTTCATGACTTTGCTTTAATTCCTCACCAGCCTTTTCTGCTCCAACTCTGCTGCAGGCCAGCTTAGGCTTTTAGATACCTTGGATGTTCCCACTGGTTCCTCCTAACGCCTCTTCCAGCCAGTGCATTTCTGGGACCCTTTTTGGGGGTGCAGGACTACTGGTACCCATGTCACACAACCTCCCCCAGCCCATGCAGGGACCTGGCCTCCAAGCTGGACCTCAGGGCATGGAATGCTCTGATGTTTGGTTGGGCGGGGCAGCGGTGACCTTGTAGCTATGGACCACCCAGATAACCTGGGGTTCAAAGTCCTGGGACTTTTTTGACCTCATACCTGGTGGTTTAGCTGGGACACATGTTTGTGCTATGTAACCAGAAAGTTATGAAACTGCCGATTATCTCCTGGAGAGCCAGCAGCTTCCTGAGGTCAGGATGTGAACATTGCTCTTACGTAAAGCGAAGGCATTGAAAGTCAACTTTTTTTTTTTGTTTTTCTTTTTTTCATGTCAGATGCTGTTGGATCTCACCAGCTGCCCATGCTCTGGGTGGGAGCAGGCGGGTGCATCCTCCCTGCGCAGGCTCTCCCCGTGGCTCTGCCCAGGTGAGCGGGTGGAGAAGCCCATCCCCTCAACAGACACCTGAGCACCCAGGCGCTGCTCTGCAGAGGCAGCAAACCCACAGCGGCACCCTCTGAGGCTGGGGGACAAGAAGCAACATGCATAAGCCTGCAGGTAAACTCCCTCTGCGGGGTGGGGAGCTCCAGGAGAGATGGTGTGACAGGAGGGGACACCGTGTGGTATCCTAGCTCTGGGTCCCCCACTGCCCTGCAGAGATGTGACTTACAGGCTCTGTGGCTTGGCAGGAGGGAGCAGAGGAAGGGTTTGTTGGGGAGAGGAGTTTGAGGCTGAGCAGGGGAGGTGGGTCTGCAGGAACCTGAAGCAGAGGGAGGAGGACGCTCCCTGGAGAAAGGGATGGGCGGGAAGGTGGACAGTCACAGTGCCAAGAGAGCTTTGGTTGTGACTAATTTCTGGTGGTTTGGGATGCTTGTTTTATAAATATTTTTTCTGCAGCTTTAACCTTGCCTGGGTGCTTTCTCCGATAGTCACGTGTACCTGCCGTGGCACGCGGAGAGAAGTTTGCTGCCTTTTTTGGCCGTTTTCTAAAATCAACAGCTGCGTGTGGGAATCCAGGCTTCTCTAAATGGAAAGACTTTGTTCTCTCACTGCCTGATCTAAAGCCCATTGAAGCTATTGAAAGACTCCCTTCAACTGCCTTGGGCTTTGGATCAGACTGTCAGCGGGTACCACTTATTCCTGCCACACGTAGCATCCCTTATTATGTATGAAAATAAACATATGCTTTGCATACTTGCTGCCAGTGGCTCCAGAGCCTCCCTAATGCAAGCAGAGGAGCACCGGGATGCATCCAGCTTTTCTACTTTTCCAGCGGCAGAGCCTGTAGAAAATGTGTCGGCTGGAGCCAGTTTTCCTCACTTTCCCCTGAAGTTCAGGCAGAGTTTAGGACCTGGGTTCCTGCCATGAGTGGCAGCTTCTCCCCACCCTGGTTGCTTCCTCCCTCTCCTCCTCTTCATGCTCCCGCTCCACCCCAAACCTGCTACCTCTCCCCTTGCCATCTCTGCTGACTTTGCTGCAGGCCCTACCAATGCTGAGGCCGAGTTGGTAAATTAAGCTGAACACAGCTGGCTCTGCTCAGGACCCCCTGCAACGTTCAGCAGCCAGGCAGTCAGGTTTGGCCCATGCTGTCAGCCCTCTCGCAGCCCTGTGTGGGCTATGGCATGCCTGTGCCCCCGTGCATGGCCCTGCCTGGGCTCAGGGGTGGTGGATTTGGAGCCACTGAGCAGCCCCAGGTGCGCCACAAACATGCTCCTGCTTCCTTCTGCTACAGCTCCATCCATAGGATGGGCATGCATCACAGCTGGGCTGAATGTCTTTGGGTGAAGCAGTTGCACAGGGTCTCCTAAGACCCTGCAGTTTTGTGTGCAGCGTGCTGGTGGGGTAAGGAAATAGCTTAAGCATTGCGTTGTGGTTTCCATAAAAAGGATTGCCTGGTGTAAAACGCAGCAGCTGCGGTGTATTTATGTGCTAAGATGAAGTGGTGAGCGTTGTGCTAAGCTTTTGTCGACGCCTGAGGTGCCTTGGTGAATGTGATGGCTGGAACTGTTTCGGAAGATTTTATCAGACTGGATTTCCAAGTGTTTAGTGCTGAGTAGCTCCTGCCGGAGCGCTTGGAACCTGAGCACCAAGCTGTCTGGCAGCACCTTATTCGTGTGGATCAGATTCAGTGCTCTGCCCTGGCTGGAAAGGGGACCTCTTCTGGAAGCCATTGCTGGGGCTGCAAAACAGATCTAGAGGTTGGAAGGTGACAAGAGGATAGCCCAAAAACAGGAACCAAAGATCTGGTCCCACATCTTTGGATGTGGC